CACCCCTCCCACCCCCTCCCCATCACCTCTCAGTATATTCAAGGGTGCACAAGAGGGATTTATTATTTCCTGGTATATTGACTCTGAAAGGTCTGGGGATTACAGCTGCTTTGCACATGAATAGCCGGAGTGTGTTGTGCAAAAGGCAGGGGCTGTGGGATAATGGGTTTGGATGTGGGAAAGCGCTGACCCTCAGGGAGAGCAGGCTGGTGCCTGATGGCAGGAATCAATTATGTCTCAAAGGAACACATTGCCCTAGGACGGGAGTTTGTCCAAACTGCCACATTATATATTTATCTCCCCGCCCCTTCAAAAAGAAAATTTGAGGAAATATAGATATTCCCCAACCACTTTACTTTAAGTAGCTTCAGAGAAAGGTGCCAGGTTGGCAGCCAAAATGAATGGTGCCTTTTTGCAATCCACAGAAACACAGCCAGCAGTGGGCCAACCACCACACTGGCTAAGGGCCATGAGCGGAGGGTGGTAGGATCTGTTCTGTAAAGTTAAATTTAGGGCTTATGTCCAGCTATGACCACTCTTGCCTCTTCCTTTTGCCAGGTCCCCAGACATCACATTAAGGCAATGGTAGTGGTGCTGTCAGTGAAATGACTGCCTGTCCCTGAAGGTGTTGGACTGAGACCCAAATCATTTCCCAAGGGACTGGAAAGCTGCAGGATAGTAAGGACTCAGAGGCACTTCTGACCTGGGCAGGATCCCAGCAGGCAGCCATCTGGTTCTAGATGTCCTGATACAGCTCCCAAGGAAGCCACTGGCAAAGACCCAGTGGCTTAATTCAGGGGCGGGCAATTATTTTGTGCAGAGGGCCGCTTACTGAGTTTTGACAAGCCATTGAGAGCTGCATGATAGGCAGCCAGGGGCAGATAAATATTAATTTTCTAAATTTTTTAGGGGCCCCGTAGGCTGGATAGAATGGCCTGGCAGGCTGCATCCGGCCCCCGGGCCACATTTTGCCCACCCCTGGCTTAATTGGAAGCAGGGTCAAGCCCTGTATTCCACAGCAGAGTTGTCTTCAGGATCTCAGCTTGGCCTGTTGAGAAAAACAGAGGGAAAATTATTCCATTCAATCCCCAGAGTCTGCATAGACCTGCTTTTGGGAAGTTGGCTAAATGTCTTGAAGCTTGAAGGCATACGTATCCTGAGGCTTAAATCCCATGTCATATTAGAGCCTGCCTAATGGAACGGGATGTTCTTATTACCCATATTAGCAACTCATCCACCAAGGAATTCTGCCGGAGGAGATGTCCTAAGCAGTATCCCTTTGGCTTATGTTATCAGTCAATATGTGGGACCTTGCCAGGTGGTTTCTATTACAAAACCACTGTGGAATTTGCTCCACCCTTCCTCTCCCCATTCTGCACACACCAAACCCAGAAAATGTGGCATTGAAGCATGCACAGTACACCCCACCCCCCCAAACGCTCTTGAGACCTGTCTTCTGGGTGTTGGCAAGCTGTGGTGAAGCCTAGAAATTTAATATTAATATTTTTAGAACTGGAGGCTGAGGTTCTCCTACAATCTCATGACTGGGGATGTTATACAAAAAGTCACCGAATGAAATCATGAGAGTGGGCACCATGGTTTTGTCAGAGCACTTGAAGGATGGAAAGGCTTTCTACAGAGCTAATAATACAGAGTAGCAGACTGGGAGCCAGGACTCTTGGGGTTCTATCCCCAAATAGCATGCAGAGTTATTACAGGGCTGCGAATGACATTTATCATGAATGCACTAGTCCGATCTGTTCCTCTGCAAGAATTGAGTTTATCCTCCAGGTGCATGATTCGGATCTTTAAAGTACTGCACTTCAGCTCCCTATTTCCTTGCTGTTTTGTTAGTCTGCATTAATTAATCCCACCTCTGGGACAAGTTTGCTTGTAACATGAACCTGCTTCTTCCAAATCACTCTCCTCTCTCAAATCTCCATCAGTTCCCCCCAGCCCCTCTCAGTGGCAGCATGTGAGCTCCTGCACGGCTGCACTTTCTCATGCTCAGTGGCTGTCAGTCACCACACAAGATTGAACAATGGAAGTGTGTCTTGTGAGAGTGCCTGGAGCTGGGTGTCAGCTTCCCCGTGCTGGACAGGTGGGTTTTGTGTGACCCGCGAACATCTGTGGCGTGCTCCGCTGGCATGAGTGCAGGGAGATTACGCCTGCTAGGAGCAGCTGGCTGCTTTGCAGGAAGAGCTGTCAAAAGCCGGAAAACCTGCTTTAGAGCCTGTCCCTGCACGCTGTGCATACGAACGGCTACTTGCCGTGCACTGAAAGGCCTTGTCCATTCCAGGAGTTCGGCCTCATGGGGTGTGCAAGACAGAGCCGTGTGCAAGGACAGAGCCTAGGGTCAGGCAGTGTCCTGCTCTTCCTCCCTTCAACATAAGTATTGTGGCAACAAGCAGCCCCTGCTCGGTAGGCACTTTTGGCAGGCTGCCCTTGAGAAAGCCAGGCATGCTGCTTTCAGGGAGTGACAGACCTCTGAAGCCCTCCTCATGGGAAGCCCTAGTCCACTCCAAGCTCAGTAGGTGCAAATGGCCCTGCAGACTTAGGGCCTGAAATAGGATGTGTGTCTTTTCACCTCAAAGTCACTGGTTCTGATCCAGGCAGTGTTCTCAGGCCAGTTTCTAGTGGAAACACATTTTGTGATCTGGCTAACAGGTTTCCCAGATTTCAGTACAGAGTGCCAATCCCCAGGTGTAGGGATGAATGGTAGGACTGAAAAGTGCTGACAGGTCTGGTTGAGGACCTAGGACAGCTGTATGTCAAGACGGAATTGAGCTGGCTGAGCTCACTGAGCAAAGCCCATGAGCCAACCCATTTTTGATTGAATGCATTATGGAAGCCCAAGAGGGGTGTTGTTGGACTTTGAAGCTGCTGCCTTCTCATTCCAAATCTGACGTAAACTCTACTCAGGGGCTTGAACAAGTCACTTGGTCCAAAAGTTTCCAAAATGGCGACTAATTTGGGTGCCTTGGCTCTCATTTCAGCAATGTGAAGTACCTAACCAAAAGGGAAAAAAGTCCTTAGTGTGTCTGCAAACAAGGGGTACCAAACCAGGCACCCAGAAATGGAAGGACCACCAGCTGCCTTGGGATGCCTTGGCCTCAGCCTCTCTACCTCAGTTTCTCTGTGAAAAATGCAGCTAATTACATTCCCCTATCTCACTAGGGAGTGCTTAGAATTAATTTGCTGGTATTTGTAAAGCACTCTGTAAGTGCAAAGCCCTGTGTCTTATTCCTTAATGTCAGAATGCTCACCATACTATTAAAATCAGGATTTCAGAAGGCAGCATCTAGTCTCACAGCAGCATCCAAAACTTAAAAGGGAGCAAGACTGTTTAAACCATCAACCTTTTTCTTTTCCTGAGCCAGATGTTAAGCCCTAAAGAACTGAAGTGGCACAGGGAATTACTTTCCCAAGTTCCCCCAGCTGGGCTGACAGACCTTGATCAATGGTTTTTTCCATAGTAAGTGCTATGCAGATGGTCTACCCAGAGCAGGGCTTCTATGAAGTACAAAGGGAAGTCAAACACCATTTCTAATTCAGCTTGTAGCATGGCACACTTCCTTTATCCTCTGCCTGAATGCTGTGAATAGAGAAGCAGTGTGGGAAACTCAGAGGAACTCCAAACTCACACAGTCTGAGGGTCTGTAACACACTCCTGTCCTCAGCCCCACATCTGCCTGTAGCAGACAGGGGGGAGGGAATGACAGAAAGAAAAATCAGATTATAAGAAACTGCATGAGGAAAAATCCACTGAACCCCCCACCCCCCGAAGGAAGCTTCTGTGCATGAACAGAAATGGCCATAGTTTGAAACTGGGAACTTTGGCAGATACTTAAGCCCCCATCTCTGACAAGCTGCAGCACAGTGGATAATTAGGGCAAAAGGGCACAGAATATGAATCATAGGAGCAGACCCTGGGTTTCTGCAGCACCAATTAATGCCCACAGAAACTGTCTCATTGAGTTCAAAGGAGCTGAGCTGGGCCCTTAGGTTGTGCGATCCATGCACACAGCATTGTGTAGTGCCTTGTCCAGTCTAATTTAAAAGTCCTTGTGAGGTATGGCTGCTTAGCTTTAGTCAGAACATCTGCAAAGCTTGCGCACCATCCTTTCATGCATCCTAGAGGCAAAGCTATGTTCAGACCTGGGGTGAGTCTAAACTGTTCCCAGGGAACACGGTCCTCTAGGTGTGTTGCAGGAGTGTTCTCTATCTGTACAGATGGAAACCTGGAAGTGACAGATAATATGCCAGAGATTGGTGGTGTGTGGTTTGCAGGCTTTGCGAAACCAGTGAACTCCCTCACACTAGTGATGGCTTCCTCACCACAACTTTTTCCAATAGCTCTTAATGACAGGAAGAGCTGAAGCCAAAGCAGCACAAGAATTGAATAGGTCTGTCACTCCTTTTATCCACAGCTTTCCAATCACTTAGTAACTATCAGTGAGCCTAGTCCTGTGCATGCCCCGAGAAGTGTTGCCACCTCTGTTTTACTGATTGGGAAACTGAGGCACCAAGGACTGAAGTTATTTGCATCTGGCCAGCCAGGGGGTGACGGGCAGAGCCCAGGAGTCTCCATTACCAGTCCCCTGCTCCAGCTACAAGCTGATCCCAAACCCCTACAGTTCTGTCAGCGCTGCCGTGTGTCGCTGTCACAGGGTAAAATGTTTGCACAAACATATCACCTTCCCCAGGGAACGGTGCTGGCAGCAGCAAGTGTCAAGGGGCTTGCTCTCTCTTTTGTGGTCCAGTGAGACTGCTGATTACCTCCACTCCCAGACATCTCAAAACCACAGGACATTGTAAATGTGATCAAGTTGAGTCACCTTTTTGGGGAAGTTGCCAATGCAAAACCATGCTCTGACCCCAGATGCACCAAGGGCTGTGACCTGCAGCAAAGTGGTTACTGTGTGTGGGCAGTGGGAGCTGTGGCCTGGTTTGAGGGGTTTCACACGTCTGTGGCAAGGAAGAAAGGTGGCTTTGAGGGCCATTGGAGACGGGTGCATTGCCATCCGCTATCGTATCCCACATGACCTCTGAAAGTGACGGGGGACTAGATGCTCACTTCTCTGCCTGTCTTACTCTTCTGCTTTACTGTCCATATTTGGAGGGATCTTTGTGGCTACCTGCATGTGGCAAGCCTCTAGTGTGTATTCAGACTTGTGCGGTAAGTGCGCACAAGAAAAATAGGGCCTTAGTTTTTCCGGTCCACAGTTATCCCAGCTGTAGAAAGGGATGTTTCCCTGCCTTATTAGCCTTATTACTGCTTCTGAAGTGCTTTGAGCTGTTTGGATGGAAGCTGATACCAGTGAAAATGCTAATCAGGCCCAATCCCAAACATGGATTTTTAGTTTTGTTGGCGTAAGTCTGGACGATTTTACTGAAGAGCTGAATCTCTAGTATAGATTCAGATTATAGATAGTACGATTCAGTATGAGTATCAGTATAGATTCAGTATGACATCAGATTATATCCCTGGAAATGCAACATATACAGGTCAAATCCAGGAGTCCTGCTCAGGCTTTACATGGGCTGAAATTCCCATTTGCTTCAATAAGGCTTTCACCAATGAGAAGCTGTAAGAGTTTGGCCCTGTTTGCCACTCCTGCAGCAAGGTCTCCAGAATTCAGGGCTAGCTGTGTGAAAATATCCCAAGGTCTTGGTGCCTTTTCCATCCCTCAAGCATCATCTTGGCTTCTCTCTTTCTCCTGAGCATCCTAGCACGGTAAGTGGCTGATTACCATATGGCTGTGGAAGTGTGCATGTCTCCCAGTTTCCCACACCATTTCTTAACGATATTCATTCTCCTCACAAAGGAAGTGTGCCTGATTACAAACCACATTAGCGATGGTGCTTGACTTTGCATTGTGTTCAGTGGGAAACCCTTCTCCCAAAAGGCCATCTGGGTAGCAGTTACCCGAAGGGAAGCAAGGGGAGCAGTGACTAGCTCTGAAGACTTGGGAAAGTACAGCTCCTTTAAGTCTTTTGAAAAAGTAACATCTGGCAGAAGTTTAGGAGGAGGACTGTTATCAGCTTCACACTGCAGGCCTGGTACCTGGAGCTAGGCTCTTAGGGCCAGAACTTGTCTCCCTTTCTACCCAGCCCCTCTCCTCCATTGCCTCTGGTGTACATGATCCAGTGGAAAGCAATCACTGGTGTTGGATCATTACTTAATGCCAAAGTCGTTGCCCCTGATGTACCTCCGTTATCTCCGGCGGTCTTGCACAAGGAGTGAATTTGGTTCGTTGCTTTTCTTTGGGGTTTCCAAACAAAATTTCGAAGCTAGAGTAATTTGTGTCTGTGTCATGAGAGAGTGACCTTCACCCGTTGCAAATCCACAGAGAAAACAGTCAAGCAGTTTTTAAAAATGTATTTCCCTGAGGCTAGGTCTTTTTTTCCTAGTGTTTCTGATAAAAAAAAAAAGTGGTTCTGAGAGAGGGGAAAGAGCAAAGGAAAATCTGTCAACCTAGGAGATTACTGCAGTGTTTTACCATCATGCATTGCTTTGCAAATTATTATAAACCCAAAACAATTCACTGAGACAGACAACAGTGGCATTATTACTGCTAACATTTCCATTTTACAGGTAGGAAAACTGAGGCACAAAGAGGTTAACTGCGTTGCTTAAGGCCTGTTGAAGTCAAGGACCAAACTTATGAACTCCTGGTTCCTAGTCTCAGTGCCCAACCCTACAGTTACCAAATGGCTCCAGCAGACAAGGTCCCTCAGGTTTGAAGTCTGCAGAAAAATAAACCCAAACTCATGACTGGAAGGGTATTTCTTCTCCAGGACTTCCTGGCAGCTCATTTGGGAACATGAAGTAGTTGCATCCCATGCAGTTAATGGACTGCAAGAGGACACAGGTAATATGCTTGCTGTTAGGGAGGCCAAATGTGTTCTTTTTAATTGAGCAAAATTACTGCTGACTTAGATTAGAGCATCATCATGGTATGGCAGAATTTGACCTTAATGTCTAGTTTGCTTTGGATCCTGCGGTGTTGAAGGAAAATTATTGTGTGCAAATTATATGTATAGGGCACGTGCCTTAAAAAACACCATGTGAAGGACTTGGCTGGTGTGAATGAGCGTTGCTCCAGTAATTCAGTAGAAGTGCTCTGATTTATACCAGGTGAGTGTGACTCTATTCCCCCTTGATAGTACGCTAAACAACTTGGAGGATTTGGCTAGTGAAAACCTAATCAAACAGCAGTTTCCTGTGTTACAGGCATGTATTCAGAGACATCCCCCAAAATCCCAAACAGGGACAGAAAATGGACACATGCAGCCTAACTCACCTGTGCCTCCGCACATCTCTTCTAATGCATAGCTCATTTGTCTGTCACAAAAATAAGTCCTGTGACTAGTCAAGAAAACTCATAGGACTCAGGTACCACCAAATAAGGATGAGCATGGAAAACCTGATCACTGTAAAACCAGTTGTTATGGCAGACATGCTGGTGGGGTGAGGAGGATTCTGACTTGAGGACACTTTGTTTAATTAAAACCTGGAATGTGTGTACACATGATTGATATAGTAGGAAGAATTTACGGCTGCTCTGGTAGCATGTTTTTAGCTCCTCTGCAAACCAGAAACAAGCAAAGCTGTTCATTTCATGTGCTGGGTGGGACATATTTCTTCCTATGTGTCTTTGATTAATTAGCTTGAGAAATAAGTTTGCTGCTCAAGACTTTCTGTTTGAGAGGATCTCCCTGCGAGGGCTGCAGGAGAGCAGGTAATGGGGCTTGGGATGTGGCATTACACAGGCTCAGATAATCCTCAAGCTTTGGGAGAAACATGTGAGATGGTGTCACGAAAACTTTCCCACAACTTGACATAAAAGACTCAGAGCTCAACAGCTGCCGTTCTGTACAAAAGAAAAGAGCCTATTCAAGGGCAGGACAATGGGGGATGAAAAAGCAGATCCTGGAAGAGGTCACTTAAGCCTTACCTGGTTTAAAGAATAAATGAGTGGGAGATCGATTAGCTAGCGAGATGCATTGGCGTGTATGTGTATGCCAATGAAAAAACATGCACACATGTAACCTGTATGTGTATAGACATGCATAAAAGGAATATGAATATAGATACAGTTTGATTTAACATTGTTTCCATTCCTTTGAAGGATACTACAGTGCTTTACACATGTTAAGTGATGTAATCATTCTGATAAGAATACAGGACTTTACTGTCTCTGTATCACAGACAGGGATATCGAGGCGTGGAGAAGCAAAGTGAAGAGACTCTGGAAAATCTGGTTTCCAGACAGCCAAGCTATGCTGTAATGCTTTCTGACAATGTAAATGGAGCAGTCTTTCTATCGGTCTGATTTTGCATAGTTCTAGACCTCCCAGCAGTACAGAAATCAGTCTGCTTCCCTTTAACACTTGTTTATCTTCATGCTAGTCGATTCAGAGTTCAGTGAAGTGAGTGATGCGTGCATAGACCCAGAGGCAGGCGGAATGCAGGCAGGCCAAGTGCAGCCCTGAGAACGTATCATTATGTCTTCAATAGCAGCATTCCTTCCTTTGCCAGTTCTGGGTCTCCCTTGGTGCAGAGACTGCCAATTGAACCAAGTCCTAGTGTGGGGTGCAATCTAGAATTGGAAACTCGGTATCAGGACTCCTGGGTTCTCTCTGCAGCCATGTTACTGACTTACAGCTAGACCTTGCTCTGTGTCTCTGTTTCCCCATAGGTGCAATGAAAACAATAAAATCTGCTTCATGTTGGGGAAAGAGGGAGCATGGTGTGAGGTTGAATAAATGCTCAGAATACTTTTGAGGTGCTTGGTGGGGGAGCTGTATACATGCAAAAGTATTCTGCCCAATATCCAGCACACACTAAAGTTCCTGTTTCATACCTCCTGCATATCTCTGAAAGCAGATATGTCCAGTAGTGTTATATCTGTTTTTCCCACATGAAGAAGCAGTGACAAATAATGTAAAATTATTTGCATAATATCATTATTTGCAAAGTATCACAAGACTTGAGCAGAGCTGGGTACAGATCTGACTTTCAGGCTTTCACTTAACCACTAGCTAATGCTCCAGATAGCTGTGTTTTCCAGCAGAGTAATGAACTGACTACACCAAGCCAGAAGAGGAAACCCATTCCTGGATATAACTCCCACTGATGTCAGTTAAGAGAGAACTTCAGAATCGGCACCTTGTAGAAAAATAAAACCGGTATTAAGTCATTAAGATAAATCTCCCTGTTCTGAGGAATTAGCAAACCACTTGTGTGTGTGCCCATGTGCTTGTGCATGCACAAGTGGGGGTCTGCTTGTGTGCGTGTGCCTGCGTGTGTTCTCAGAAGAGATGCGCATACTCCTCTGCACAGACTAGCTTATTTCCCGCCATCAGCCAGTGGCCTCTACCTCCACAAATGTATGTGAACTCCACATTGTCCGCACCCGGAATGCTATTGATCTGCGGCATTAGTCAGCAGCCTTTTCTTACTGAAGGCCAGCTCTTTCCCAGCTTCTGACACACAATTCTGATCCCAGTCTTCCATGTACCCCACACTCTCCACCTGCTCATCTGGGAGAAGGTCATTATCCGTAGGCTATTCACTGCCAATGGAGCATGCAAGAATAGCTGCTTCTCCTATTGTCCTGCCTATCTCTCTGATTGGCTCTAGAGTGTGGGAAACTCAACCAAGCCAGAGACCCACAGATTCTCAGTGAGGTTGTTCACTATAAATATCAGGCAGACACAGCTTCCAGCAGCACATTTCCACTGCATTTCAGCACTGTAGAGACTTTCCTCCCTTGGACAGATGGCCCCAAGCACTGTTTTTATAGAGCATAACAACCTGCTGACGCCAAAAGAGAAAAACAAAGTAAGTAGAGGCACAGGCTGTGCTGTTTACAATTGCACTGAAACAGATGGGAATGATCCTCAGCTGGTGCAAAGCACTGTGGCTTTATTTCGATGCCTACATATGCGGCTTTATTTCAATGCCCGCATATGCCAGCTGTGGATCTGGACCATGCTACTTTGGTACTCCTGAGGTCTCCTAAGCAAATCTTTTGTCCTTTCGCAGCTAAGGAAGCCGGTGGTGGAGAAAATGCGCCGGGATCGCATTAATAGCAGTATCGAGCAGCTGAAAGTCCTGCTGGAGAAAGAGTTCCAGAGACACCAGCCCAACTCCAAGCTGGAAAAAGCCGACATCCTGGAGATGACTGTCAGCTACCTGAAGCAGCAGAGCCAGCTACAGATAAAGAGTAAGTATTGGGCTTGGCATTTCTCTCATTCTGTGCTCAGCCCTGCCAGGCGTCATGGAGCTCTGGACAGTGACCTGACCTGAACACTGAATCTAACTCACTATCTCTTTCTCCTCCCCTCTTTCCTTCTCTAGCTGTGGGAGCCTTCCATAAAAACTCACAGTTTGATTTCAAGGAAGGCTACTCCAGGTGCCTGCAAGAAGCCTTCCACTTTCTGTCTCTCCATAAAGTCCAGATTGAAATGCAGACCAAGCTCCTGAGCCACTTCCAGAAGGGTCAGACTGTTGCTCCTGAGAGCGTCTCCCCCCACTCCAACCAGAACGCCCCAAAGCAAGTGTCTTTGAAAAACAGCGGCACGCTCTGGAGACCCTGGTAGACTGGACTCTCAGGACATTTGCCTTTTTTATTCCAGAGGAAGGAGGTGACTGCATCTGACAGTCCAATCCTGATCCTCTCAACTGTAGGGAATATTATTTCCCCTGTTTTTTATTTATGTATGGAAAGAATGGAATACTTGTGACTCTCCAGGCTCATATGGGTTCCTCGGGAAAGCGTTCATGTATTCTGTTGAGTGGTATTGAAGCTGTGCAGATGTCAGCAATAGCAGGGCACAGCAAGGCACCCCATTTGGGGGCACGTGTCTTCATAATGAAGGAGGTTTTTGTAGGTGATTATATGTTGTCAGTGTTACAATCATGGTGAAATTGTAACAGATAGCAGTTGCCATAGGAGAGCACTCTTTGATTTTGTTTGTTTGTTTTTTTTTTTTCATGCCTGTAAAAGCTTTCCTCTTTCCTCCCCTTGCCTTGTTTACCCACTCATTCATAATGTAGGATGAATCCACTAACTTGGTGTTGGTGCACAGTGTTCTAAATCTCACTTCCTCTGTCTGATTGCAGCTTGTACAGCAGCCAAGATAATTTCATAGCTGCCACTCTCCCCTTGTTTCACTCATTAGGACTAGACAGCGTCATTAGATAAAACTATGTGGAGTATTTCTACCATTTGCTGCTTTTTTCTGTTTAGGAAAATGATGCCTTAATGCTTTATATTAAAGAGAAAAGAATGTACACGTGACGTTTGGTGGTTCAATGTTATACATTTTGACTGTAAGATTTGCTCTTTCCTTGTGTTCATTATTACAATGGACTATTCTCTACTGAGCAGTTTCATTCACTATGGATGGTGTGTTTCTCCCGCTGCTGGGACCGGCCACATGGGCTGTTTGCATACTGTGTATGCATCTGTATCACCTGTATGTGTAGAAAGCAATAAAATTGCATTGGCATGCAACTGCTGGGTGTTTTCTCTTCTTGGGAAGGGTGCGGTCTCACAAGCCCCAACACAAACCCAACATGAATTTAACAATTTTATTCTAATGGCCAGAAGAGGAGACTGGTATACCTGGCTGCCTGAGGTGCTAACACGGCCCTATGGTGTAGTGCCTAAAAACTTTACAGGCTTTAATATGTTTCTCCACACAACAGCTGTGGGAGGTAGGGAAGTACTAGTGTCCTCACTTGCAAATAAGGCCCCTAATGGCATGCTCTCTACAGAATTCAGCTGGGCTCCCACCCAGGGGTGATTGTCTCTGGTCTCCCTCCCCTTTTCAGTCCACACACACAACCCTCACTTGTATGGTGAACTTCCACCCTGGACTACCTGGCCCAGTGGGGTTGAGCAGAGGCTTGGGAGTTCATGTGCTGCTTTCCCTTGGCTCCACTCACTGCACTGAGGATGTAGACTAAATGGCTTGGGTGCCAGTCATCCTCCAGGACCTTCCCATAATTCCTCCTTCCAGACAGACAGACTTTCTCGCAATTCACTGGCAAAGAATCATAGAGGGACTCAGCTCTTTAAGGCACAAGAGCAGGAGACATGGATGTAGAAATTCCAGTGACGCACCCAGGGAAGTGCCGAACCAGAGGATGTGATAACTCAGCTGGGGCTTTGCTGTGTGATGCTCAGTCCCAGGCATCACTTGAGCCAAAAGAGCCGCACGCATGATCAGAGGTCAGGAAAACAGACCTTACAACAACAGGCTGAGAGCCATGGGGCTCTTTAGCCTGGAAAAGTGCAGGCTCAGGGGTGATTTGATGGCCACTTATAAGTTTATCGGGGTGTTCAGCAATATGTGGGGGAATGATTGTTCACCAGAGCGCCCCAAGGGATGACAAGGTCAAATGGTTATAAACTCCAGCAAGACCATTTCAGGCTGGACATAAGGAAGAATGTCTTCACTGTCCAAGCCCCCAAGGTCTGGAACAGCCTGCCACCGGAGGTGGTTCAAGCACCTACATTGAACACCTTCAAGAGAAATTTGGATGTTTATCTTGCTGGGCTCCTAAACCCCAGCTGACTTCCTGCTCCTGGGGCAGGGGGCTGGGCTCAATGATCTTCCAAGGTCCCTTCCAGTCCTAATGTCTATGAAATCTCTATGAAATGGGAAGGATTTCAAACTAGGTTGGAGCACTTCTATCCATCTCTCACCAGGTGTCGCTGCAAATTTGACCAAAGGCAGGAGAGGCATAAGCTGTTTTAGCAACACTAAAAAAAGTCTGCTCAGAGCTGAGACCTCAGTAAAACTTACCTTAACCAATAGTGTAACTAGGAGGCAGTGAGTGGGGCACTTGCACCAGGCACAAACTTAGAGGGGTTGCAAGATTGGCAGCTACCGGCTGGAGCAGCAAAATAGCTTGAAATGTCTCTGCCTGAACGCCTAGAGGGCTACTTTGCCTCCAACATAATCCTGCTGAATTGTAATAAGCATATGTCAAAGGGGTGAGGAGGTGAAACTGGGAATTTTGATTTTAAGACCCTTGTGCAGCATTTATGACATCACAGTCATTTTTACATCATCCATCTGCACTGCCGTTACAAGGATAGATTGACAGTAAAAAATAAATACTAGAAGAAATATTTCCAGCAGTAGCGCAACAGAGTTCCTATAAAATGAGTACGCTTCCACTGAATCCAGAAAATAACTGGTTTCATGTATGTTCTTTTGTGGCAGAGCCAGACAGTTGCGAGTACCAGTCCTTTTGTATGTGCACAGCATTATAGCCTGTAGTTGCTGTGTTTTGAAATGTGAGGTTCTGCAGGTTTGCGCCTTACACCCACGCTTGAAAATTTGACCCACAAGGTGCTCACGTGAAGCACTACCACTAAAATATTTCTCAAAATTTCCATGCTCATTTTGTCTCAAAAGGGCACAGGCAATAACAGCATGTTTTGACTTGCTCTTACTCCTAAAAAAAAGCTCTGGTTCCTGGAAGTGACTGGGACCAGAAGGAACAAAATTTTCTCTTTGTTTATTCCAGTTGATTCATAGTTTGTAGGGTGAGAAGGGACCTGAGCAGATCATCAAGTCCAACCCCCTGCCTTGGCAGGAAGGAGTACTGGGGTCTCCACCAGCACTAGTACCTTCACCAGCACTGGGAGCTGCCAGTTACTGAAGGTGCTGGGCATCCCAGTAAATCTGGCCATTTCATTCAGATGCAAATAGAGGGAGCTGGGGTAGATTGTCTCTCACTCTTTTCCCAGTTTCTTGTGCAGCTCTGTTACACAGTGATGGGGAAAGGAGTGTGTTGAAAAGAAAAGGGCTATGTATTGTGGAGTGTTGCAGACAGGGGTTATACCTGGGAGCACGTACAAAATGCTTTGAGAAACGGATTGTTTTAAAGTGACGGTACCCTTTTAAATGTAAGCGTAGCAGTACCCTCCCAGTCTGCACAATATCCTGTTTTGTAAGGAACGTGTTCATATTGGTGGCTGAATGTTTGCTGCCCATGTGCAGACACACAAATGTCTTCAAAAACTTGGAGAGCTTCACCTAGGGCAGAGATTTGGAGGGAAGTCTGCTGCTTTGGGGCACAGAAGATCCCAGTAGACTCCTGGCTGCTCTTCCGGGGTTTAAGCATTGCAATTCCAAAGCACAGTGAGGATTTGTTTTATTTTTATCAAAGGGGAAAAAGTTAGTTTAATGTATACTTCTCCACCCGATCCTGTCTGTTCCCTGTGGGAACTGGGGAAGGAGGCCTTGCGTTCAGCCAGAGAGCTGGCAAGCTGAACGAATACCCTCTTTTGAACTCAGTTCAGGTTTTGTTTTATCTCATCTCCTGCAAGTCCTCAGGCTGTTAATTCTTTTTACCTTCATAGAGTACTTTTCATCTCTGTAGCCCATTTACCTGGAGACAATGATCAGTGGCAGCATCTCCAAGCTGGGCATTTCCTCCCTTACTCTGAGTCAGACACTAATCATCACCACCTGTAAATGGGTGCTGAGCAGCAAATGTATATTTGTGTAGCACAGGAGCGAGCAACCCCTGGCATGTGTGCCAGAGTGTGGCACGCAAAGGTATTTTGCTTGGCATCTATCCTTCGGGGCGGATGGTGGGGGAGTTGTGAGCGGCCCAATCCTTGTTGCGGCAGTGCAGCCCCAGCCCCTTCTGCCTGGAAGCATGCATGCATCTGCCACCAACAATGAGCTGGGCCAGGGCTCTGCAGACCCTGGTGCAGCTGCTTGCAGCCTTACCTGCCCCCTGCTGCAAGAAGCCCAGGGTCCAGTGATATGCAGAAGGGGCCTGCCCAGAGCCCAGGCCAGCTGTGGCAGGCAGCTGGGAGGCTGCAAGCAGCTGCAATGGGGTCCGTGGAGCCCTGATCCAGCTCATTGCTGGCAGTGGGTACACATGCACCTCAGGGCAGATGGCAGGGAAGGGGTCATGGCTATGCTGCCACAACAAGGGTTGGGTCCCCTGCAGCTCGCCCGCTGTCTTCCCTGGCACACCAGCAGCATCTTACAAATCAAGGTTGCAGCACCCTACCCAAAAATGTTGCCAACCCCTGGCATAGTGTAGCAGTTTCTCTTGTCTTGTTCTCTTCCTTATGGTGTTTGCAAGAGATCCGCTCTTTTCTGTGTGCAGTTCTACATGCTTTTGAGTAGCACTAAGACACTTGCAGCTCCCTGCCCAGACTCTGGGGGGAAGCTTCATTCCTGAAGGCACAACATGTGCTATCACACAGCCATCTTGGCCCCCCAGTAATTATAATCCTGGCTGGGGAAATAGAGGGAGAAAAGTTGAGTTAACACAGTTGGAATAAACAGGCATTTCACTAACAGGGTTTTCCTAGTATTTTTGCTCTGGTGTATTTTAGCTGACTGCTCCCTCCTTTCTTTTGTATTACTCAAAACACCACAAAGCCTGAGGATCCTGATTTATGTTGAGTGGGGGAGATTGTGAATCCAAACTTTTGCTTGTCATGGACTGGCTGCATGGGTTTGACCAGGTCCCTTTGCTTCCTGGTCTTCTGGGTGCCTCAGCCATGTCAGCATCATGTAAATTCACCATGATAAAACACAGATTTTCTCATTTCAAGGGGAAAAACCCAGATTTTCTCCTTTAAAGGAGAAAAATGTGGGAAATGGTGGGTTTCCCCTTGCAGGTTGGGAGAGTTACAAGGGGCAGGAGGAGGGCGGTCAGGCAGGGGGCACCATGTGCATGCACATATGCACATGGCCACCAGGCAGCCTGGAGAACTGCTCCACCAGGTACGTTTTTGGGGGAGGGGAATGAGGACCCCCATAGTGAGGGAGGGAGGGAATCGGGCAGGGCTGGTGCTGCTGCCCAGCCCGGGTGGTGCATGGGGCTTGGGGCCCAGGGCTAAAATACACAGTTGCGGGGCCCGGGTAGGGAGGCGGATGGAGCCATGGGTTGCTTGTCCAGAGGGTGGCGGGGGTGGGTCCCCACCACTGTGCACACTCCCGGAGGGGCCATGGGGGTATATGCTCCCCAGATTTGAGCACAGGGTGGGGGCAGGGACGGGCCACCTCCACAGCCCAGCAGATGAGACCTGGTGCAGCAGGGCAGAGCAGGTGTGGGTGGGGAAGCTTGGTGCCACTGCTGCAAGCTCCACACCGCCATGGCGAGGCATCCCTTACTTGCCTGGGAGCAGTGGAAGTGGTGGCACAGAGGGCACCTCGCCATGACAGTGTGGGGCTTGTAGCGGCAGCATCAAGCTTCTCTACCCAGCTCTACTCTGCCATGCTGGGTCCCACTTATTGGACTGTGGAAATCCCGGGAGAGGGGAGCAGGACAGGGAGCCCTAAGTCTGCAGCAGGCAGCCTGCATCTGGGAGGCACGTGCCCCCCATGCCCACCAGGAGTGCATGCAGCAGTGGGGAGCTGGTCCCCCTGAGCCCACAGCTGTGCCACGCATGGGAGAGGGGAAACTGGGCTCTGCTCTGCTGCAGCACCTACTGCCTCCTGTGGATGGGTGGCAGCCTGGGCTATGGCG